CACACTGATGTGGAAGGTCATCACAGGCCAGGCTTGTCATGCACTGGTGGAAGCTCTGAGGGGTAATTGTTAAAGCCACAAACCATAGTCACGTCTTCAAATTCCTTGTTTTGTCTTAAAATTAGTCCAAAGTTCACTGCAGTCATTTTTTGTAAAGAAAACGATGTAGCAAAGTTTCAGGGATTAATACATGGCTGGTTAGTTTATAGTCGTTCTTTTAAACCTGGAATATAATACGTTGTTGTTGTTGTTGTTGTTTTGTTTAATACTTTTTGTTAAGATGCATCTGATTTATATTTTATTTGTTATTAGTGTGTGTGTGTGTGTTTTAACCTGGTAGAGGGGCCTTGAATATGTTTATGATACAGCCTGTGTCGTTGCTTTTTTTTGATTTGAGACAATGGTTTTACAGCCAGTAGCGTGCCAATCGTTGCTTCTTCACTGTGCATATTTACAGTCCTAATGAAGTGTTTGCTATCTCCTTGCTGCAGCCACATTAGCGAGAAGGGGAAGTGGGTTTCACGTCCTCTAGCTTTGGTTTAAACTGCAGCCTAAGCAGAAAGACGTGCTTTTCGAGGCTGTGCACATCGAGCAATTTTCCACTGATCAGGTTTTCTCAGACGCTGCCTCTCGTTGCATACTTCACAAGCTCATGTTGTGGTGTTATGTTTTGGTAAGCATTTAAAAGTGTGTCTTGTATTAGTACCGTGTTATTTCCAAAATCTGTAGTGTATTATTACCTCCAAATGATGTGTCTACCTGCTAAAGTGTCTGTTGGACTGGTCTGCTAACAGAATTTGTCAGCAGTTGGTTGGTGGGAGGTGTTAATTTTCCAATCTGGTGGTCTGGTTCAAAATCTGAGGATCACGTTTTGATTGTTTTACGTCAGTCTTCATTCAGTCTTATTTACAGATCTCTTCTCTTTGCGGTGTTGCTGAATCTCTTAAATTTCTCATCCCTGTGTTGTTGTTTTTTGTTTTTGTTTTTTTACCCCCTCTTTAGTCAAAGGATCTCGGCCAGGGAAGAACGTCCAGCTGACCGAGAATGAGATCCGTGGCCTCTGCCTCAAATCTCGTGAAATCTTCCTGAGCCAGCCGATCCTGCTTGAACTGGAGGCTCCCCTGAAAATCTGTGGTGAGTTTTAATTAACCAAAGGGGTTGGTGAGTTTCACGGGACAAAGAGATGATGTGGGTCTCAGAGGATGCACTGCAGGCGCAGGAGAAGACGGTCATTATGAGAGGGTTTTCTCCTGGTTTGCTTGTCTGTAATTAGCGCTTTTATCAGCTGATAAGCGTGGGCAGTTCTGGCAGAAGCAGTGAAAGCATGTTGTTTTTAAATTGCACATCTCTGCTGCCCCCTGCAGGCGATGTCCATGGTCAGTACTATGATCTGCTCCGGCTCTTTGAATATGGAGGGTTCCCCCCAGAAAGCAACTACCTGTTCCTGGGTGACTACGTCGACAGAGGAAAGCAGTCACTGGAGACCATCTGCCTGCTTCTAGCCTATAAGATTAAATACCCAGAGAACTTTTTCCTGCTGCGTGGCAACCATGAATGCGCCTCTATTAATCGAATCTATGGCTTTTATGATGAGTGTAAGTACAAAAGAGGCTTCTAAAAGGAAACCAAGGCAAATTTGCAACTTTAAATCTTGCATTAATTTTATTTATTTATTTTTTTTTGGGGTAGGTAAGCGACGGTATAACATTAAATTGTGGAAGACCTTCACAGACTGCTTCAATTGTTTACCTGTGGCTGCCATTGTAGATGAGAAAATCTTCTGCTGTCATGGAGGTGGGCCTTGTTAATACGTGACTTAGCCTAAACCATTTGATCCAAGAAGCAAAGGTTGGCACGTATTTATTTTTCAAAAATGTTTCCTCTCTCAGGCCTCTCTCCTGATCTCCAGTCAATGGAGCAGATCCGCAGAGTTATGCGACCCACAGACGTGCCTGACCAGGGTTTGTTGTGCGACCTGCTGTGGGCCGACCCAGACAAAGATGTGCTCGGCTGGGGTGAAAACGACCGTGGAGTCTCCTTCACATTCGGTGCAGATGTGGTGGCCAAATTTTTGCACAAACATGACATGGACCTAATATGCAGGGCGCATCAGGTAATGTTTACTAGTTTAGTCACTGTGTCTAAATTCATCTTTGTATAGTACATTTCAGACTCATTGACTGAAGAAGTGTTCCCTTAATTCTTATTAATCACGATGCATTGTGTGGCTGTGTTTTAATAGGACTAATCAGAGGCATTTTTAGTGTTTTTCTTACCATATTTAAAAAATACAAGGAAGGAAAAATACTACACCTCCAAGCAAAACTACGATAAATAATTGAATTAGTATTTTCAAATGTTTTCAGAAAACGGGACGTGAACTGTAGATTGTGAAGATGCATTAGCTAACTTCAAAGCTGTGACAAAAACATCTAAAACAAAAACAAAAAAAAAGCCCCAGACCAAACAAACACTGGTGGAAATACTTATAAAGCAAACTGTGAGGGTGTTTCAATGTAGGTGTGATATATTCTATTTTTAACAATGCCTGAGTGACAGAATATTAAACTATAGATCTGATTCTTGAATGGCACTAGCCTCTATTTTTTGTTTAAATGTTTTTTAATATGTAACATTGATGGTTTCCTTTTGGTCTTCAGGTGGTTGAAGATGGTTACGAGTTTTTTGCAAAGAGGCAGCTCGTCACTCTGTTCTCCGCTCCCAACTACTGTGGAGAGTTTGACAACGCTGGCGCCATGATGAGTGTGGATGAGACGCTCATGTGCTCCTTCCAGGTGTGGAGAACAGAACTGATAACTTTTCGGGAAACAAATTTGTTTCGTTTAGTAGTTTCAGACTAAAATGATACAATATATGGCTCGCATATTGATTCATGTAGTGATGGTAGAATTTTAATTGTAATGTTGTTTTTTTTAACCTATAAAATTAGAGTTCACTGTGTGTGTCTGTCGATCTAATTGATTACTTCTTTGTCCATATCACAGATTCTGAAGCCAGCAGATAAGAAATTATATCCTTACGGTGCTGGGGGAGGAATGGGATCAGGGAGGCCGGTCACCCCTCCGCGAAATTCAGCCAAGGCCACCAAGGCCAAGAAATAACACCCACTGGGTCCACTTCCCACAACCTGCCACCCCCTGTTGGCCCAATGCTTCTGTTTTTTGTTGTTGTTTTATTTCTCCTCCTCTACCTCCCAAACCTTTGTCTCCCTTGTCACCAAACGGCAACAAAGAAACCAACTGTCCAGGGTTCAATCATGTTTTTTCTCTCTAAAACTATTTTTAACTGTTCGTTTGGTTGACTGGTTGAATTTTGCGTGAATGAGTGTGTTTAAAAAAAGAAAAAGAAAAAGTGTGAATGATGCAGAGGGAGCTTCTGTATTCTGTACGTATGTTTTCTGCCTCCTCCTTTGCCCTGCGTTTGGTTTTCCTGTCATTTTGTAGAGGTGGGCTCTGCCCATCCTTCATATAAGCTCAAACCTTGCAGAAGAGGAGTGAAAAAGGGGTGGGGGGGGGCTTAGCTGTTTACGGTAAGGCCTGCACTGTTTGATGTTAAACACAAGCTTTTGTACATCCTGTCTCTGAGGTCCGTGTATCTCTGTGTTATGTGATGGGTCGGGAGGGGGGTGCTGGGTTTTTGGGGATCAAGTTGCACGGTCATACGGTAACGGCACATACCACACACTGGGTGCACGGGTGGATATATGTGCAGGTGAGTCCTTGAATGAAATGGATTCACAATAATATATATATATTTTTCTTTCCTCTTCCATTTTTGAAAACCAATGATTTCAGTCATGGATGTGAAATAGTTTTGTTTTTTTTCTTCTTTTCTCTGTAGATAAATGAAACCAATGTGGTTTTACTTTTTCTTTTTCTCGTTTTTAGTTCACTGAAGTTGAATAAAAAATAACCATTTATTTGAGGCATGCCATCATGTTGATCACTTTGCCATTGCTTTATGTTTGTCACGCATAATGGCTGTTTTTCTTTTCGTTTTTTTTTCCTCTCTGTGGTACCTTGAATTGACAGGCGGTGTTTTATAAGCGAGACTTTCAAAGCGTAGAAGCTAGGATGTGTAAGTTTGGGTTAGTTTAACACCTAGTGGAAACAAAGTGGCATTTACACATAAGTGGAAAAATCGTGAACAAATGAACAACACAAATCTGGTTGAGCCAGACGTTGCTGTTTTTATCAAATAAAATCCTAAATGTTTATTTTTTCTAATGATTGTTGGCTTCTGATGCAGCTAATGATTATTTTTGCAAGGCTGAGAGGACCAGGAAGGTAAATGACATCACCACGTGCAGTTAACATGTTGCACAAATAGGCGCCACTGACACTGCATCTGTATTGAACTTTGCACACGATACTTAAGATGCCTGCTGAGGAGATGAGAGATTTTTTTCCCCCCCACATTTTCACTGATTAAAAACAAAAAAAAAAGCAAAACATAAAAACAAATGGAGACGAGATGGTGATTCATTCACTCTAACCTTTCAAAATGCTCCAGCTGAGACCACTTCACTCTTTGTTTTCTATGATGAAACGAAGAGTGGGTTTATTTAAATGTAAAAACCCACACTGAATGAGGGGTGCATGCACGTTTAGCTCGTGTTTTGCCAGTTTTAACACTGATATTTGAGAAGATAAATAAATCCAAGGGCAGGGGAGGGGGATTATATTAATGATAATCATGTGCAGTGAACTCTCAGTGAATCCAGCGCGAGGCTGAGCAGCTAATGCTGTGTGGCAGCGAGGTAGATGATTATCTACGCTTCTTAGATCGCTTTTTGTAAAATATGTTGCCCAGATTGTGGAATTACTTTAATTGCTTGTGAGTGCAATCATTGCTTTGAGCACGTTCAGAATTTCTTCTCACTGAAAATTAAAAAAGAGTCATAGACAAGAGTTGAACATGAGCTACTGGGTATTATTCAAGTGTACCACCTGCTGCCCCTCTTATATAATCACCTTGACTTGATTCAGATTCCAGATTCATGAATTTTTAATGGGAACCATCTCTATTACCTCCTAATGTTAGAGCTGGTCCACCACCCCCAACCCCCACCTCCTCCGTGGCAAACAGGGTGTTCCCAGTCTAAGCGGGCCATAGTTCAGCGCAGGCTGTTGTAAACTGCTGGAGAAATCTCCCTGCAGTGTTTCAGGGTGTCTTACTGCCCTTTTCTGAAACTTTTTTTTTTTTTTTGCATCATTGGTCGGTCTGATTTCATTCATCTGTCCTCGCGTTCTCGTGTACACAGTCACAGTCATCCCAGCCCCACTGCGATTTCTATCAAACCCACGTACGTGATGGCTTTTTAACAGGGGAGAGACAGTGGGACTCCTAACTGCAGCAGATAGTGCAGAAAAAGGCTGCTGCTGGTGGGGGGAGAGCATCATTAGATTTCATCGTGTGCTCATGTCTGATTCACATTGAGTAATTTCAACTCAGGAAGTGAAATTTAAATATATTCAAATAAAATGATATGATTCATGTACTGAGAAAAATCCAAGCTTAGATGCCATTATTGCAGAATATGTGTACGTGTGAGTGATTTCAGTTTGTGTTCATATTTCAAAGTGGCTAAATGAAGCTCGGGCTTGGCATGCTGGCGAATGGTGCATGGTGGGTGGGTGGGGAAGCTGATATGATTTACAAAGAGATCTGAAAATGTATGGAAATTTGTGATATTGTAGGATAACAAAGGGTTTATACGAGGCTTGAGGCTGTCTCCACAACAGTAAGTGGCTACTGTAAAACGGTCCAATAAAGGCCACTTCCACTCCCATTTCATAGCTGTACAAACGCTTATGACTTTTTAAATTGCTTCGCTATATTTACAGTTGTTACCTCTAAGAATCTGCGCTTTCATCGCTTTTTCTCTCAGTCTTGGTTTTTACTGACAAATTTAACCCCAGATACTGCAAAGCTTCTTAGTCTAGGATTTTTTTAATCAATCAGGGATGTTTTGCACCATGCACTGTCGCTGGGTAGAAATAAAAAATCATTAGATTGTTACGATTAAGATAACAAAACAACGGATATAAATAGTATTTTTATTTGTATTTCATTTGTTTTCAAGTCGACCACGATTTGTCTCTGTTTAAAGGTAGAAATAAAATGGAATTTATACACTTGTGTCTGGTTTTCTTTTCATCTTCGATTGAGACTAAAAGCTTTCTGCAGGAAGACCAAAAGCAGCTTCGTTCGAGGAGAGCGTAATTTTTCCACGTCTTTCCTGCCTCGAGGCTGTTTTGCTTTATTTCTTTTGCGGGGGCTGCCTGTATTGTCTGTCAAACATTTGGAGGATGAGTCAGTGGCACGGTTGGCCCATTTATCCCCCTGGATGTGCTTTTACTTATTTATCTGATTTCAGCCGGCTCAGACGGCACCGAGAGATGCTTTACAAAATCAAAAGGAGTGTGACAAGTGATTGTGTTGGGCGTGAACCGGATGATTTTGAAAAAAGTGAAATGAAATCATGTTGCCAGCCTCTTCTTTCCTCTTTTATTACAGTTGGATTCACACCCCCTCTTATTTTTAGAAATCACTATAATAAGGACCAAGCCTAAGCTAAAACTGACAAATGGTGCCTTTTGGTTTTTTGTTGATCACAGTGCAATCTGTGACTGAATGTAGGCTGACCGGTTTCACATTAATGCTTTCCTTCACCACACTAACAGGACGGCATCGGACACGCACGTTCATATTTCAATTTCAGTGGAAATGGGTTCAGTGAAATCATGCTTATTTTAAGATTGAGCTTTTCTAACATGCAGCAGTGGTTCAAAGTAATCAAAAGCAATCATTTTAATTAACAAATAAATGAATGTAAGTCGAGATATTGATGGTAGGTAGTTGCACAGTTTAGTTTGAATTAAATAAACAGGAATAAAACACATTGTGATGTGATTGGAAGGTTGTAACGCTCTGCCTTCTAACCATAAATCAACAAAAATTCACCCATTTAAAGATTAAAAACACAGACATCAGGTAAAGTTTAGAGTTTTGACTCCAAATTTTACCTCAGTGAGTTGTGTGTGTGTGTGCGCTCTGTGGGTTTCTAATCAAATGCCTGTTCAATGTTTCTTTCCACACTCATTTTATACATGCAAACTGTATATTAGGTGGCTTATTTCTCAATGCAGGCTAATGTCTCGCGAAATGTGGGGCAAAGAGGATGCTTGTGTGGGACAATCTAGGACAC